TTTAAATGAGCTATGTAATTTAGACACGTGGGCACCATCCAGCATTTTGATTGGTTAATTAGCGACATGACCTATCCGGTCAATAAAACGTCACGTGTGCATTCAAAAACATGGTGGATATTGTATCGTATCGTATCGTATCGTATCGACCGTTTACATGTGACTGAAATCATTCACTTACGGCGAAACTAAGTTTAATTTTACTTGCATTTCATAACAATTCAACGGATTTATTTTTCGTGCGTTATTGTAATCACTACTGAATAATAACCACACTTCGAAAATAAGTAAGTTATTTACTTGTGAACCGCAGCATGGCCGGATTGCGCTACCGTTCCGTGATCATTTGCTACTAGGCAGTGCATTTGTGTTTGTTTTTATTTGAAACTTATGTTAGAATATACTTTTCGTTACCAAGAAAATTTAAAAGATAAATGCATATTATATTAAATATACTGAGTATTTTTTTATCATGTGGACAGTTTTTTTGATTGACTGTAATATTTCAACATTTCGTAACGCCTATTTTAGAACCAAAGTAAGGCCTTTCACTCTTCCCTGACGCCTATTCAAGAGATTGTACGGTGTATTGTTTGTTTTGTGCAAGTGTTGTAGGGAAAAAATGACCACGCCCATTTAGTGATTGCAATATGTACGTAATAGAAACCGCACCCCGAACTTTTGATCCGAATTTTTTAATTGATACATTGTAATATAAACCGCGGTTTATATTAGGACTTTAACGGTATGCTTGATTTTGTGAAAGCTGTGCCTTCAACATCGACTGGAAAATTAGCTGACGTTGCAACAGTTAAAGCGTGGTGTTCGAATTTCATGTAAATAAACAATGTATTTTACACGCATTGTATACGTCGCTATGAGTCCCATATCGAACAGGACGCGGCACGATGACTGTCGCCCTTTAAGGTTAATAGACCCGAAGTAACGAGCAACACACTCACTGCTCACTGTGGTATGGACACAGCAAGTCTTACAGCAGAAGTTTTGTGGGCAATGAAATGCGTTAATTCGCACTACAGTTATAAAAGTTGTGATGATTTGGACAGTTATTTCGAAGGATGTTTCCAGATAGTGATATAGCAAAGAAATTCACCTGATAGAAACTGACTGAGTTTTTGTCAAATTGGCTGATGTAATAGTAACATGGTTGACACACCAAACTGTCCAGTTACATTCACTACTATGATATTAATTGGGAATGTCAAAACTTGCAGTTTGTTTCGCACATTATTCATGTTTCCTGGTCATAAATAAATTTCATAAAGTTTATATTGTAGTATTTACTCTGTGTGTATATAATAAAGAATGTCGGTATTGACTTTGGGTTAAACTTAAACAAGTATTCCACTGAAATGCTTTATATCGACTATATTTCCCTACAAAATTAGCCTGGAATAGCCTGGATTTTCATCAATATTGGGCCTGGAATAGCATGGAATTTTATTATCTCTGGGGTGTACGAACCCTGTATAGGTACTACATGTGGACCTCTCTCAGATTTGTTCATTTTGTAATGATATCTTTAATTCTCTAATTTTGGTGAATATTTTTGTAATTTTTGGTAAAAAGTGATATTTTCGACTTCTTGTTAAAAACCGCAAGTCCAATTGCTTTGATACTACATATATAGGTACTACATGTGGACCTCTCTCAGATTTGTTCATTTCGTGATGATATCTTCAATTCTCTAATTTTGGTGAATATTTTTGTCATTTTTGGTAAAAAGTGATATTTTCGACTTCTTGTTAAAAACCGCAAGTCCAATTGCTTTGATATTACATGTATAGGTACTACATGTGGACCTCTCTCAGATTTGTTCATTTAGTGATGATATCTTCAATTCTCTAATTTTGGTGAATATTTTTGTAATTTTTGGTAAAAAGTGATATTTTCGACTTCTTAAAAACCAAAAGTTCAATTGCTTTGATATTACATATATAGATACTACATGTAGACCTTTCTCAGATTTGTTCATTTCGTGATGATATCTTCAATTCTCTAATTTTGGTGAATATTTTTGTCATTTTTGGTAGAAAGTGATATTTTCGACTTCTTGTTAAAAACTGTAAGTCCGATTGCTTTGATACTATACACATTGTTCATTTTCTAATGATGTCTTCAGTTCTTTAATTGAAATGTGCATTGCTAACAGCGGAGCTATCTCAGCCGATAGGCTGCTTGTTGTTCATTCTAGAGATTATTCTGATGGCACCATGGGTTTGTGTGCAGAAATATTGAAATTTGACTTTGACTTTTGTGCTTTGGACTGTCAACCTGATTGAAGCCTTGAAATGGAGTCGCTATTTCTTACAAAAATGTCACGTTGGAAATGTAGGATACTGAGCATATATGTAAAATTGTGACTTGATCATTTGGAATATTGCCAAAGCATGATGTTTTTTAATTACCATGAAATCTGTATTAGAAGCTGCATCCCTAATAGAAGTCGCATCTATTCTTTTTAAACATTTGAGAACTAAAAATTCATTGTTTCTCATATTTGTAGCTGCTCTAATAGAATCCGCATCCTATCTATTGCATTGTACCATTTTAATAGAAACCTTGGCTTCTAATACAGATTTTACAGTAGTTTTAGTTACTTCTGCATACTTCATCAACAGAATAACCAGTGACACATATGCAATGTGGTTGTTGATAGTTTTGGGATCATCCAAACAATTCTGATACCAGTCACATTTTGTGACATCAAGGTGTTCTGTCAAAATTGTCTGTGGATTATATCATTTGCACTGACTTATAATTTCTTTCTCTTTCAATTGGCAATACAGTATTTCAGTCCATACATGTCTGCAGATATGAGAAAAATGGCATCAGCATTCAACACCACTGTGACCGAATTGGAAGATGAATTGATGCAGCTAATACTAGATGGACAGATCAGTGCTAGGATTGACTCTCACAACAAGGTAAGTGACTGAGTTGGAAGATGAATTGATGCAGCTGATACTAGATGGTCAGATCAGTGCCAGGATTGACACTAACAACAAGGTATGTGACTGAGTTGGAAGATGAATTGATACAGCTGATACTAGATGGACAGATCAGTGCCAGGAGTGACTCTCACAACAAGGTAAGTGACTGAGTTGGAAGATGAATTGATACAGCTTACAGCTGATACTAGATGGACAGATCAGTGCCAGGATTGACTCTCACAACAAAGTAAGTGACTGAGTTGGAAGATGAATTGATACAGCTAATACTGGATAGTCAGATTAGTGCTAGGATTGACTCTCACAACAAGGTAAGTGACTGAGTTGGAAGATGAATTGATACAGCTATTACTGGATGGTCAGATCTTTGCTAGGATTGACTCTCGATCACAACAAGGTAAGTGATTGAGTTGGAAGATGAATTGATACAGCTGATACTATGGACAGATCAGTGCCAGGAGTGACTCTCACAACAAGGTAAGTGACTGAGTTAGAAGATGAATTGATGCAGCTAATACTAGATGGTCAGATCAGTGCCAAGAGTGACTCTCACAACAAGGTAAGTGACTGAGTTGGAAGATGAATTGATGCAGCTAATACTGGATGGTCAGATCAGTGCTAGGATTGACTCTCACAACAAGGTAAGTGACTGAATTGGAAGATGAATTGATGCAGCTGATACTAGATTGACAGATCAGTGCTAGGATTGACTTTCACACAGTTTTTTTGCTAATAATTTTTAAAATTGTTTAATTTTCTACAGATTCTGTATGCCAGAGATGTAGACCAGCGGAGTCACACTTTTGAGAAGTCTCTTGCCATGGGAAAAGCTTTCCAACGGAGAACGAAGGTCAGATATCAATCAATATTTGATGTAAATTTAATTTAGGAAAACTGTTTTTCATTAATCACTCATTGCTATTGTTAAGTAGAACATGAACATTAATTTTCAAGGAACAAATTCTACAACTTGCTTCTAAACAATTGGTAGAAAAGAAATTTACGTTGACAGTTCAACAGAAAACAAAAAAATGTGAACATTTCTTTCTCCAGCAACCATCTAGAGATTTTGGAATTTAAATGCATACTGTTAATATAATAAATGAACTTTTTCAAATGTAAATACATTTTATCATGAAAATTGCTAATCCCACCACTTGAGGGCGCTGTGCTGATATACATGATATACACTAGATGGCGTTGTTGTGATGGACTATAATTTTACTGGGATTATTCTAGTATGCATTTAGAAGCACTGTATTATGTTATAAAATCATGAAAAGGTTTCCTAAGTGAATGTAAATTGATTCTGATGTTTCATTGCAATTTGCATATGATAGTTTTAAAATCTGATTTTTTGGTGGGATCAAATATCTGTTGAATTGTTTGTAAAACTGTCAAAATATGAATGCATATACACCAACGCCAGAAACTAAACCAAAGATCTATTAAATGTCACTCTCTGTTGTATTGCTTCATTGTAAGTGCTTCTCTTTTAAAAACTAGTTTGTGGTTAAGGATTTAGTAGAATTTCAAGGGCTTCAACTTAATTGCTTGAATGTTTATGCAGACTTGTTATGGTACACATATTCTGGTAGTTTGAAAACAAATCTGTTTAACCTTGCATTTTATTTTATCATGGCTCGTGTCAAACCATGTAATCCTACAGCAAATAAAAGTGAGCAGAATCAATCTTTTGTCCAGTAACTTAACTTCCAGTGAATTATTATTCTATTGTGAATTATTATTATGCATGAAAATTTATACATAAAATATGTAGTTGAAAAATGATTGCATGTTTTCTTGCTAACACTTTTTGACCAAAGTGATAATAACTTTAGAACCCAGACTTTTATAGAAAAATATTATTATGTTGAATCATATAATGAAGGATACATGTACAAAAAAAATATGTACTGTAAATGGGTTATTTATTTACTTGGTTTCAATTTTGCTTATTTCGCTGACTGGGAAATGTGCTAAATTAAAACCCAATGAATATGTATTTAGTTTAGCATAGAACACATTGTCTAAATGATAAAACCGTAAATTTAAAACCCACTGAATATGCCTGAAATACTGTGAAATACTTTATTTTCGCTGGAATTAATTTTCGCTGAAAAGACTTTTTGGTTGTTTTGTATGGAATTTATTTTTACTGATTTTTGATGAGTTTAATGTGAAATATAGGAAAAAAAAGTATATTCACTGGATTTTATTTTCACGGAATCATCCCTTCAGCGAAAATAACGAAAATAAATTCCAAGCGAAAATAAAGTATTGAACAGTACTAAATCAGTGAAATTTAAACCCATTGAAAATTAGTCATTTTACAGTAAGTTATGATGTTATGATGTAAGTAATCGTCAAAAACTCACTTTTATTCACACATGGCGAGATAAAAATAAAATGTGATTTGATTACAACCTCCTACCTTAAAGTTGTTTTTCAGAATTGAACAACATGATGAATGCTTTAATAATGAGATGACATAATGGCGTTCATCAACTATCACTACATGAACTGTAAAACCATTAATTGATTTTACTGTATTTAATTTCACTGTTGTAATAATTTCAAATTCATATATTTTCGAATCAAACAATAAATGTTACTGTAATTTGATATGTGCACGTGGATTTTATTTAGGCAAATTTCTCAAATCAGTTAAATTAAAATCCAGTAAATAATTAATGAGTATGAATTTGTATGTAAATTATACGTTAATTAATCAATATTGCAATTTATATTTGCAGGCATTAATACTGAGATCCGCAATGCTGAAAAATAACATTCATGTGAAGGCAAGTACATCTTCATAAGCTGCAAAATGGCTTTCCTCGTGGAGCTCTCTAGCATGGTTAGCATACTACTTGTGTCCTCCTTCGCTCTTTTCAAGTGTTTTAAACTGAAATCTACTACCGGTAGTTATTTATCATTGAGTGATTGATGTATATATATATATGTATGCATTCTTGATGTCAGTCGCTGTAGTTGTTGTGTCTTTTGCCAACTGCGAAACGTACTCGTCATTGTGCGTGTGATCATGTTTGATTGGTCAGTCAATGTTGTCATGCGAGTCTCCTATCTGTTTATTTCCTTGAGTTTAGTTTAGGCATAATGTAGATGTACTTGTTGTAATGAGGTATCCTCACCTATGATTTATTCTCAAAGGGCAGTGCTCGTCACATCACGTCGCGCCTGTGCAACATTAGTGTAGATAAGCATTGGATTTCCCATAATTCAATGTTCTCTTCTAACAGATATCATGACTTGCACTAATTACTATCGATGACTCAACTTCGATAGCTTACAATCACCAAAAATTTTTTACCTAATTTAAGGTGGGTGATGTAATGTTGCAACAGTGAATGTCACAGAATATTTTATTTATATGAGACCCATGTGTATGTAGGACATGCATGAAGCAATGACCACTGCTCATTAAATCTCTTTATATATATGATGTATTGTTATACATCTGATTTTATCCATTCCTAAAACAAAAAGTTTGAAAGTGTTAAAGAATTTGAATATCTTCCTCATTTGTAAAAATATACATCATATTTGTATCGCATTAAAACACAAACCCAATTACTTTTAACTTATTACTGCATGAAGGAAAACTGATGTCTAATAATAAGAATATCGCATAAATATGCATCCCCCATGTGTGGTCGATATGATCACTGAGGCGATTGCCAGACTATCTTCATGCATACCTTGTGGTATTCCCGTAATAAAGCCATATGTGTCGTACACAAAAGGTAACAGCGGAAATCTACCTTGCATTTCTATCGATTCATTTGAGATTGAGTTTTTCATCATCCTGGGGTGTCAGCAACTCAACTCCCACACACATACGTCTTCTTATGATCTAAAGTTGAATTCCTGCCACAGCATCTGAGTTAAAACATTGTATATTTCCAATGTTACTTGTGTTTAACTTGTTTCTTCTTGAATCAGAATTTAAAAATGTACCACATGAGAATTAAGGTTGTCCTGATAAATGTAACAAGTGTTGCAAAACTGGTCGAGATCTAACCATGCATGACTCCCATGTTGAACCGGTATTTTAATAGCCTCCAGTAGTGTTCCTAGTACAATAAAATTGGGTTGTCAACATACCAATGAACAAAATTGTAAAAAACATTTAGTTATTCGGCAAATTCTCAATTAACCACCCCAAAATCTGGTAGTGTATGTTGTTGATTTATAAATATGTTCTGTTTGTGGGATTAATTATTGATGTGTAGTAAGCTGCTTTAGTCTGTTTCCAAATTGTTTTAGCAGTGAAAATAATTTTTCACTATTTTTTTTAAATTTTTAATTAAAATCTGTAGGTAATAGGAAAAGTCCAAATTAAATTTATTCCAAGGCTAATGAAGAAATTGTGATAAAATAACTGATTGTATAGAATTTTGCTTCCAAATTTTGGCAGGAACAAATTTGGAGTTAAGATCACAGTAATTTTCGTGAAATTTGATTCTCATGGATACCTTTCAATTACCAATTTGTGAAAGTGTATTGCGGTGAAAATTAAACAGTTTATAGTGTACCATAAATCTGGCTGAATGTAATAAAATTGGGCTTTCTATGTTCTCTCCTGAAATGTATCAACTGATTCAAATTTAATACTCAGTTGAGAAGCGTTGTCGTCAAATGTTAATCCCAGGTGATCTCGGTGACTGAAAACTGGGTCAATGTACTTTCTCGACATGTTGACCTCCTTTTCACATATCACAATTGTATAAGTTGAATTGGAGTACCATTTTGGGTGATACAGTTCACAATGTGTGGTTTATTTGTTGGCTATTATTGAGCTGCGACAAGTTACATGTTGATTGGTTTGCATTGGTGACTGCTAGGAGATGATAAATTGACAGTCAAATTTCAATGTCATCAAGTTTTTATGGTATGATATCTGTATATATGTGTCACTGACTGCATCTTGGCCAAAATACCACTGACTGAGTCGGTTCTTATTTACATCGCAATACATAATATGTAAGAGAGAATAACGTAAATCATTAATATTCTAACGTCACACATATAGTAAAAATAATCAATTTTAAAAATGGTCTGGTTTTCAGAATATAAATTATAGTTAAACCTTGACTGACTCAAATTCAGTGATTATGAATTCATTAGGTGTTACAATTACAATTAAAATAATGTTTGATGGCCAAAATTATGAGACTATACTGCTCTAAGATGAAAGCACTTTTACAGTTTATTGCGCAAGTAGATTTGAACTCCATGCATGACTGGACATGAGAAAGTACAGCTTGCTGATGAGAATTGTTCATCAATGAAACTCATTGTCATTGCATGTTGTGAACGTGGACAGTATACATTGGTTCAAGAATGTGTAAGACAAACATTTTTGGGACTATAAACGGATCTAAGTGGGATTATTATAATTATCCTAATGATATCTATCCGCAACTAATTGAACTAAACTATAATGATATTCACTTTTGCACTAATTGGAATATATGATAATAAATAATTAGCACACAGGAGCACTTTCAGCACACGTCTGGTTTCGGTTCCATGAAACCAATGGTATAATCCTGGTATTACGTCTATGTTACCATTTTGTGGAGATCATTCCATGTCAGTTTTTGTATTTACTTGTCTCTCTCAAACACATTTGTTTTTGCAATAAAAAAACACTGACACCATTGTTACTTTAATCTTCTCTCATTTCTTTCCTTTGCTCTTCTTCTCCCAGGGGGCTCCCTGCCTCACAGGCAACGGAGGTGAGATCCATTACAGTTTAATGATTCACCAGTCTGTGTTCTCTAGTCATCAGTGCATCTTCTAATTCATTTGCTTTTGATGTTCTGCTAACAGTTTTCATGTCGGCACGTGCTTGAAATCTCAAAGTATGGTTTTTTTGTCTGTCTGCAGTGTTCCATGCCTTCAATGCACAACACTATGTTCCATATTCCTCCAAGCACCGCACTACATTCAATAGCTTCCCCAAGCACCGCACTACATTCAATAGCTTCCCCAAGCACCCCACTACATTCAATAGCTCCCCCAAGCACTGTGTTTCATACCTTCAATGCAGAGCTCTACTTGTGCTCCCTTTTGTACATGTTTTCAGACATTTCCTCCTGCACGACTGCAGCCATTTCCTGTGATTATTGTATACGACTGCAGCCATTTCCTGTGATTATTGTAAAATCACTGTGAAAAAACCTGAAATTTACATCTGTAGTTCATTCACCTAGTTTATTATAGAAACATGTGCGCAAAGAATATGAACAAATTCTTCATTTCACCATTATTATTAATGCGCTTTGATTAATACTTTATCATATCGCACCAATTATAACAAAGTCTCGGTTTTAATTTACAAAGTAGAATGTGATTTAAAAAAAAAAATGTTGTGCATCATCTGGATGTAAACCCCACGGTAAACTTAAAGATAGAGCTGCCTAACTAAATTGCTTTCCTGAAAAATTACTACTCATAGTGTGACTGCCGTGTTCATTGAGAGGCTTGGATTATATTTTTTTTATTTTATTTTCTATAATGATGTTTTCAAACCTTGCCCACAGTTGCTTTATATCTGCTTTCTGCCTGGAGGCTTTTCACCGCTAATCAATACAGGCATTGTCCCTGCATTGCCACCATATGAGTGATTATGGTTACATAATACCTCGCTTGTATGACTGTCTTATTCAGCCTAACAGCATTGCGGTGTTGGGCATTTCTCAAGTGCTATACATAAGTTGGCTACTTACAGTGAGCTCACCAGGGATTGCCTATTAAAGAAAAGTGTCTCGTGGGTTCTTACTTGGTTGAATTGCATTTGCGATCTTTGTTTCCCGCTGAAATCTATATATATATATATATATATATATATATATATATATATATATATATATATATATATATATATATATATACTGTATATAAAAACATACTTCCTTGCTATGAAATTGTTATATGCTCTTACTCTACAGTATTAAGTTTGATGCCCTTGTAAGGTTCATGAATGATTAAGAAGAGCCCCATCATTTTTATCTGTTCGTTCATAACAACAAAGAATTAATTTAATTCATAGAATTAATTGCAACGTCTACTGTTTTTAACACATTGAGATAACAAACATCCTATTGATTTTTGCCTCCCTTACTTTCGCTTCATACCCAAAGTTTATCTCATTAATTCACTATCCTGCTATTACGAGCCAAGAAGTGTCAGTTGTCAGTCTACGCTTCATGTCTAAAAATATGATACATCACAGTTTCATACTCCGTTTTGCGCCGTAAAGGTGTATGTCTCCGTACAATTACCCCAGACTTAGTCAATGTAACAAGATTTCCAATGATTTATGAAGTTGTCTCTTGAGAACATTAGGTGTCAAGTCTGCGAGTTAACAGTCCCACACTAAAGCAGTTCCAGTGGTAAAGTATTAATCAGAAACGTGTCTGTAACAATTCATGCCAAGATTGTCTGTATATGGAGGTTTGATTTATGACTACAATTAAATTATTTATTCAATATATTGCTTACATGTCAGATTCATAGCAATAATAACAAAGTAGGAACCATATAAGGGGGGAGAATCTGTTTAGGTTTAATCCAAAATTAATAAAAAAAAATCAGTTGTTTTACCTACCAAATGAATTCCTCTACACATAAGAATATAGACAATATAGCTTGTGTGCTAACTTCTGTAAATGACACAATTGTGTCTATGGTCAATCTAAATCATGTTTGAATGATTCAGTCCACAATGAATTGCTGGTTGATGTTAGATTCTATAAAGCCAGTACGATGTTAGCTAGTGTTATTACATCAGGTATTACATTTAAAAAAAAAAATGACTGGATTATTTTT